AGGCTGAACTATCAATATATACTTAACTAAGTACAAATAATAATTCCATTTTTCTTTCAGAAGAGGTTTTTGAAAATCAATAAATATCACTGATTTCTACCAGTGAAGGATACTTCCTTTTTAATGTCAGTATCATAGAAGATAGAGTTCCTTAAGTAAAATTTTATTTTCCTTGACTCTTAGACACAAGCATTACTCCTGTGTCTTTGTAGTGCCTCTCTGATGGAGCTTAAAATGGTGCTAAATCTTGTGTAATCTGATGACCCTTGGGATTATGTTGCTAGGAGTCTAGTTTCTGGTAAACTCTCCCTTAGCAAACAGGGATGAGTAAATATTCAGTTAAAAATGGTCAAATTTTAGCCAGGTGTGGTGACACATGGGTCTCTAATCATAGAGCTTGGGAGGCAGTAGTATCCTAAGATCAAGGCCAGCCTCAGCAACTTAGGGAGGACTTGTATCAAAAATAAGAAGCAAATTAGGATTGTGCAGAGGGGAGGGGAGAGGGTGTGGGGATGAGAAGGATGGTAGAATGAGAGAGACATTATTATCCTATATATATGTGTGATTAGACTATTGGTGTGACTCTGCACTATGTGTGCCAAAGGAATGAAAAGTTGTGCTCCATTTGTGTGAAATGTGTCAAAATGCACTCTACTGTCATGTATAACTAATTAAAACAAGTTATAAAAATTTAAAAAAAATAAGAAGCAAAACAGGCTAGGGATAATGAGCTGGGAATGTAGGTTAGGGGTAGAGTGCCACCTAGGTTCAATGCCCAGTACCAAAAAAATAAATAAAAATAGTCACTTAAAAAAAAAAAAACTAGTGAAAACTGCTGTGACTAGAGAGTATACTGGTATCTTGATCAATTTTATGAACAAGGATACATTCCCATCCTTATGCCTCTATTACAGGTTCTACTTGTCAAATGTTATGCTTGTGATCATATGTGATATTTGAAGGCAATGTAGGGTTGATTCATTTGCACTATTTTATCAGTTTGCTTCATATAGGAAAGTATATGGGTTGACATGAATATTCCCTGACTATGCCTGATGCTATGACCTTAACCAGGAAATAACTGTGACAAAACTACCTCAAGTGTGGTGGGCAAATGCAAAGGGTGTTGAATTGTCATAATGAAATAATGACAATTTACTTCCTTCCTAGATAACAGGTGGCTGATACCACATATTGCTTCAAGTATGGAGTTGAAAATTCAAAACACCAGATACCAAAATATTGTTGAAGCAGAATAACTTGGCCATGAAAACAATTGCAAGCGTTGATTTAATTTTTATAGTGATGAACCTTTGTGAAATCCAAGGGACATTCACTAAAAATACCAACTCAGATCAACTGCAAACCAGAGTTATCAAAAAGTTGGCATAGGTCTGGGGCTTTATCTCAGTGGTAGAGTGCTTGCCTGGCACATGTGAGGCAGTGGATTCGATCCTCAGCATCACATAAAAATAAAATAAAGATATATGTCCATCTAAATACTAAAAAATATTTTTAAAATGTTGGCATAGAATGGATTAAGTGATACTTTGAAGGAAACTTTTGAAATAAATTGTGCCAAGCAGACCAAGCAACTGAATCAAAAACAGCTGCATACCAACATGACATGAGACTCTTCTGTCTCTGGAAATTAATCTGCAGGCTGCACCATCTAGATTTCTATCTGAAGATGAGACAACTTTCATCACTAAACACTCAACATTCATGGAGTGATGGGCATAGCACTTCAGCACAATTCATAATTAACCTTCCAACTCACCCTTCTCATTTTTGTAACATTCCCTCATTATGAGGTGAGTTAAAGACATTGTTATCTATTGGACCTATTATGAAGGCAAAGGACCATCATCTGATACAATAGTGAGTGCTAAAGAAATTCGTATAAAAACAAAAGCTGCAGCTCCAAACTCAACAAATGATTGCTTCAGTTATTTAACCATTCATGGAAGAAGAAATAGTACACAGATGAATTTCATGGTGTTTAAATTATACAAACTCAAGAGGGGTAGTAAATGGTGTGGTAACTATTGAGGTATGTTTTTTGTGTATTATAGCTATGACAGTGGCACTACCCCATAGGTCAATTACCCTCAACTTGCCATAGCTTTCATGCATATTGTGGAGAAGAAATAATAGAAAAGGGAACTACAAAGCTTTTGTGTAGACATGGAACTCTGATGAATGTGCTATCTAAGTGGCAAATTAAATAACTGTTTCAAAGACTCTGTATATTTGAAAAATTAAGTTTTTCATTAAAATTTGAGGATGTAAGGATTATGCAAATTATCTTTATCCATGTGACTGGCCATCAGGATATTAACACAATGCACAAATTATTTTTTAAAAAAACAGATACTGTGAGTAGACAGCTTATTTAAATAATAAAGTGGCTATTTATATCCATTAGCTGTTACCTAGTCTCTGAATTAAACATTTTCTAAGCTTTAAAGTGCACTATGCATTTTGAAAACAAATGCCTTCCATAATATTTTCTTTAAAATATTTAGTTTATAGAACTCTTTTGTCTAAAACCATGACCTAAAGTGTATCAATGCTTAGGGGGGTCACATATCTCCTGCCACATTCTGGGATGCCTACAAAGACAGAATCTACAAAGAACTCTGTACCAAAGAGAAAACTACAGAAACAATGATACTTAGTGAGAAGAACTGTTGTCATACTCATAGCAACTGAATTTTGGCATAGAACATGAATTTGTAGTTTTCTATAATAAATTCTAATTAAATAAATTTTTAATATCTTTATTTTTTTAAATTTATTTTTATGTGGTGCTGAGGATCGAACCCAGTGCCTCACATGTGCAAGGCAAGTGCTCTACTGCTGAGCCACAACCTCAGCCCCACTAAATAAAATTTTTTGATGCACTCCTTAAAAAACATTTAGTTGAGGGGCTGGGGTTATGGCTCAGCAGTATAACGCTTATCTCACACATGCAAGGCCCTGGGTTTGATCCTCAGCACCACATAAAAATAAATAAACAAATAAAATTTTAAAAACCATTTAGTTGATAGAACATAATGTTTCATTTAATTCACTTTTGTAGTGATGCATGGTTTTTCATTTGTGTTATGTTTTTGGCATTCTCACAATTGATCATGAAAATAAGGTGGAAAAATTGTTAGGTAGAATGAGATGAAGTCACTCAAGGTTTGTAAGATTCAGGAGCCCAAGGTCAAGTACAGTTGTGGGGTTAGGAGTATACTCCAGATCTTCAGAAACCACATACATAAAGTGCCTAGTGCAGTGGACCAATCTGAGTATGAATGGGATGAAAAAGTTGCCTTTCCCCAACCCTGACTAGTGCACTCTTGCACGTGGAGGCACTGCTTAGTCCTACAGTAGTAGATTGAAGTAATATACAAACAACTGTAAATGAAACATGAATGACCCCAAAATAAAGAAAGCAAAATAAGTCTTTTAGTCATAATGTATCTTGCAAATAAAAGGAATTCTGAGATTTTCAACAGTAGGAATTACCTTTACCATAACAAGTTTCCATTCTTGAACTAGAATGATCTTCAATAAAAACTAAGAACTTGAAATAAGTTAAGAGTAACTACTGAAGTGCATTTTGAATATCCCTAATCTGAAAATCCAAAGCGCTCCCAAATCCAAAACTTTTTGACACCAACAAGATGTCAAACATGGAAAACTCTACAACTGACCTCATGTGACAGGTTATAGTCAAAATGCTGTTGCACTAAAAATACTATATAATTTCATGCTTAGACTTGGATTCCTCAAGATATCTCATTACATACATGTGAATTTTCTACAGTCTGAAAAACTCAGAAATCTGAAACACTCCTGATCCCAAGCATTTCAACTAAGGGATGCTCAGCCTGTCGTATATCATTGGAGAAAATGTTTTCTGAAGAAACTTTCACATGAAAGAATACATCTCTATTAGCCAATGCCACCATAAATAAAAATGTTAATGAGGTAAAACTGGTCATGATGAGGGTAAAACAATATCAAGAAATTGAAAAGTTTCTTGTTAAGCTTAATTCATTTTAACATATTTTGAAAAAACATCTTGAATGCATCATAGAAAATCTTATTAATTAAGCCAAGAATCCATTACTATTTTTTGCTCCTATGCTTTGATTTTGTACATCTTTATCCTTAATTTAGGGATAACTATGAATAAAACATGAAAATCAATGCATCTTCTTGTTCTGCAATCATATATGTCCTATTCTACATAATACCTCATCTTCCTCATATTTTGTTTATACTCCAGTATAACATTAAGATTTGAAGAACTTGGTTGTAGAACTTTCCTTATAAAATGTAGTCACAAATCTGGATTTGGTCAATTAGGTATTCAAGAAGAAAATTAAATGAACCTAGTGAGTTTATTTTGTTTTGTTTTGCAGTGCTGGAGATGGAACTCAGGATCCTGTATATGCTTGGCAAGGGCACGACTGAGCTACATTGCCAGTCTGTGAGCCTAGTTTTATAGTTATGTCTTTATGTTAAAGGTTCAAAATATACTTTTAGTAAAAATCTTCTAAATGCCATAATTTTCTTCCTGAAAAGTAAGATTTTCACCTTATACTATTCCAGTCTGGCTTTGTCTATCCTCTAAAAACTGGTCTCTGCCACATGTATTTTTATAGTATGGATAATCAGCTACATTGTAATTTGGTAAAAGCTTCTCTAGGTTATATGAGGATTTCTATTACTGTGTTCAAAATCTAAATCCATTTTTTTAAAAAAGCTATCTATTAGCAAAACTATATCTCTCCTACAAAAATTCTTGTATCTATCTTTATAAGGGGTGAGTGACCTTTAGACTGGCTTATTTCTATAAGCACAAAGTCTACATTCTGTTTTAAAAAGCAAAACTTACCAATTCCATGCTGTTATTAATTTTAAACATTTCACAGCACATCATATTTTGAAAAACATAGAAATCAACCAATTTAAATTACGTGCATTCAAATGGTGCTCACCTTTAGAGAATCAAAACAGGCTACCACACGACCATTTTCCACATGGCAAACTCTTGGTGGATGGGCAAACTTGCAATCTGCATCAGGTCGAGAGCAAGTTCCTCTCTGAAATTCTCTGCAGACTTCTAAAGTCAGCCACTTGGTATCACGAATCAGGGCAACATTGACAGCAGTCATATTGAAAGCAAAATTATAATCAAGTGCACCCTCTTTAGGAGAATATCACTATGGATTGTTAAAGGACTAAAAATGAATTAGGGGTAAATGTGAAAGACACCAAGTTGCTTTGGCAGAATGTCTATTTGTTAGCACTTAGGTTTCCATTTAAGTCAAATCTGATCTAGTCAAATAAAAAGTCACTCATAAAATCAAAGTTGTATCAGAATAACTAAAAATCAAATTAGAGACCAACTCCTAAGAAGGCAACTGTAAAGCTTATAGATAGTGAATGGTTTATTTTGTTCCTTTGCTGAATTTGCCTCAAAAAACTGGCAGGCTTTCAAAAGAATTCTGTGCTGTCTAGTTGATGTTTTCAATTATTCTTATAAAAAGCATATGCTGCTTGCTGCCCTTCAATTTGTGCAAGGGTCTCAGATCAGGGAGAGAACAGTTTTTCTCCCTATTTCTTAGTTCTAAAGAGTAAGACTGGGGAAGATGTTACAACCCGAAAACCAGCTTTGCTGCAAAATCGAGGGGCGAGAAAATGACTAAGAAAACTGCGAATCACAGAAAAAAAAAATGGACAAGTTGCTGACAAGTGAACTACAAGCACGCCAGGTTTTGTAGGAGGCAGGGAGCGGGGAAGGGTGTGGCAGGGAGAGGGGTTGGTAAAGAGACAGCTCTAGAGTAGAATCCAAGCAGCAGAGTTTTCAGAAAAGGCACTTTTCAGAACCTGCAAGAAAAAAATAAATAAAATTAGCTAAAATACTACAATGCTTCCATTTCAAACTCTAAATTTGGAAAGAAAAGTAACCATATTCTATTTAGAACAGGAAGCATCTACCTACTGACGGTGCAACAGAGTACAGTCAGCTCTTGTAAATAAAAAGGGTATTTCCCAATGTAAAGCTATGCACAGTAAACGAAGCAACTGCTTAGATTTGCTGCTGTAGTACAAAACTGGGCAACAACCCAAACTTTTAAATGTTATTATGTTTTACCTGGTTAAGGTAGAAATTCATTTTGGTGTCCACTGTGCAGAAAATGTTACAGCTTAACATGACAGTCCCTTATGCATTCATAATCCACTTGTGTGTCTCCAGTTTTTAGAGGCTATCATCAAAAACCTGTCTTTAAACTAACTTTATTATGGTCTGATTAAAGGCTTGACCTTTAATCAAGCTCAGTGATAGAGCATTTGCCTAGCATGTTTCAGGCCCTGGGTTCCATCCCAGGCACCACCAAAAAAAAAAAAATTAAAAATTGATAATTTTTTTCCAATAGCAATAGGAATTGCTAAGAAAATTTAAGGTGTACTGAGAAGTTCCTTCTATGTGTATTGAAAATATAGTCATTGAAAATTCATAAAAGAGTCATGACACAACTAGTTGGAGACTCACTTTATATGAGGTAGTGTGGAGAAATGAAATGTAAAATGTGCTTTGTATAAAAAAATTCTTTGAAAAGATCCCATACTTTTTTTCTCATGGGAATATTGTTCTTATGAAGGGAAATCAGAACAGCTCAGAAGATATTAGCATACAGATATAAGTGAGACAGAAAGCACTGTTCAGTAATATATTAAATATTGTGCAGCTTTAAGGTTTGAAGTTTAACCCAGTGTCAACCAGCACCAGTGTCAAGCAACTCAGCTGAGAAGATATATGAAAGGTTAATTTACTGGCAATAAATCATCAACATGTGCCAAAATACCACTGAAGGAAAAGTAAGCTCTGAGTACCAGACTAGTCAAGTAATTGTTAAAGTCATCAAGTGGAATTAACGTTCTTGAAAATATTTCATTTAACCTTTTGAACAATACTTTCAATAAGTTTACAGAATCTGCTTGTCCTTTCTAAATTCTGGAGGAAATTCAATATCTCCTGATATTTCAGATATCAACGGGGAATTAAATACCTGGAAAATTCATGCAAGCTTATTTATTCCAGAGCCAAAAATGTTTTTCTCTAAGTCATTCTTTATGGGAATCTTTCTAAAATATATTGTAAATAGCTTTGTCTTCTTAAAAATCATTTAACATAAGTTGGCCTCTGTTAAAAACTTGGAGTCATTAATGTCTGGGGAAAGATTACAGTGCTTCTTCATAGGTGGCAGACTATTAATTGTTACTTCGTATGTCACTTCATTTGCTGCCTTAATATTTGCCATAGTAAATTTTCTAGATCCATTCTGGAAAATCTAATGGTCAATCATAAATGTTGAATAAGAGTTAGTTACTGAATGAGGGGCCTAAGGGACAAGATAGGGATTTTGTTGCGAATGTTCTATAATGAATCCTTACTGCTTGGAGCGTCCTTTTACAATACACTACATGCAGAACTGTGGTTCAGAGAGTTATGGTTGTCAGAGAAATGACCTCTAAAAACACAGTAATTAAAAAAAATCCTGATGGGGTAAATTTAAATCAAAACCACAATGCAATAAATACCACTTCATAACTAGCAGGATGGTTATAGTGAAAAAAGACAGAAAAACTGAAAAATTGAAATCTTCATACATTCTGGGTAGGAATGTAGAAGAGTGCAGTTGCTAGGGCAAACAGTTTGACACTTCCTCAAAATGCTAAAATTACCTTATAATCTAACACTTCTATACCTCAGTATAAAATGAAAATAATTTAAACAAGATTCAAATGAATCCTTGTTGCTAATGTTTATAACAGCATCATTCACAAGAGCCAAAAGGTAGAAACAACCCAAGTGTCTACCAAAAGATGAATGGATAAGAAAAATGTATTATGTCTGCACAATGTAATATTATTCTGCCATTAAAAGAAATGAAATGCAGATAGTTTTACAACATGGCTAAACCTTGAAGATACTACAGTAAGTAAAATGAATCAGTCACAAAAAGGCACATATTCTATGATTCCATTTACATTAAATGTCCAGAATAGCCAAATCTACAGAGACAGAAAGTAGATAAGTATTTGCCAGGAGCTAGGAGGGGGGAGATACGGGGAGGACTATCTAATGGGCAAGGAGTCTTTTTATGGGGGTAATGAAAATGTTCTAGAATTAGATAGTGATGATGGTTACACAATATATTAAATATATTAAAAAACATTCACTAAATCATATACTTTTAAAAAAATGAATGAGTTGGGTAGTGTGTAAATTATGTCTCAATAACTGTTTTTAAGTCTAAAAAGACATGATAAGCAAAAAATAATAATAATCCTGATGAGTGTTAGGATTGGCTAACTCAAGCTTTCTTAGATTCTGCACAGACAAAAAATTTTCTCAGTAATGTTGGTTACTAAGTTAAATTTCAATAGTAAATCAGTTTACATACTGTAACTGCCTTGATATGTCATGAATAGTACAATGAAAGAGTGTGTTCTGGGGGGTTGTAAGTTTATATTAGAACTTAATCCTACAGCTAAATTATATTGGCTGTCTGAACACATTTGAAAGAAAAATAAACAAAAAAAGGAAAAAATATATATAGGTTGAAGATTTGCTCAGAACATAAACATAAGGATCTGGAGAAAAATTTCTATGGAGATCCATCAAGTAGAGAAACAGATAATAAATAATAAATTTGAATTTTGAACTTTTATAAATGAAAAGTGCAAAAGGGAACTGGCCTCTGGCCATGCATTTTATGTAACATCAGGAATGAGAGAAGAGTGATTTTTTACTTTGGCCTGTAACCTCAGATGGGACCCTGGCCAATTCCTCAAAGCAGTTCTAGCCAGCACATGTCTTCCTTCTGACTGGAAATATTTAGTGGGGCTAGCTCAGAGGAAATTAGGTGCATCAAGTAAAGGGAGCTGGTGTGAGGAGGGGGAGAAGTGCTCTTATGCAGCTCTGCTTATCTAACTCTGTATAAAGGACAGAAAGAGATGCCAGTTTCCCCTATATTCTTTTTTTTTTTTTTTTGGTATCGGGGATTGAATCCAGGTGCACTTAAGAACTGAGCCACATCCCCAGCTTATTTTGTATTTTATTTAGGACAGGGTCTCACTGAGTTGCTTAGTGCCTCACCATTGGTAAAGCTGGCTTTGAACTCACAATCCTCCTGCCTCAGCCTCCTGAGCCACTAGGATTACAGGTATGCACCATGGTGCCTGGCTTCCTGTATTTCCTGTATTTGTAAGAGGGTCAGGTTTGTTTGAGGGGACAGCACAGCTTTATCTTGCTGAGTAACAGGAATATGTTTTTGCTTTTTGTGATTTCTAGTCCTGTAAAGTAGAACATGGCAAATTACCATTTCTTAATGCACTTGTGCTTTATTGTAATTGAAGTTCACAGGTGCTTGTATTGCATCAATCTGTGGATCTCTCAAAATATTCCATTCCTTTTTTGTGATGCTGTGCATCAAACCCAGAGCCTTGTGCATGTTGTCTCAAAAATACTCTGAAGCATTATTGATAACTCAAATATGCCTATGAAGGAAATGAAGTTCATAGAAGTTAAGTTACTTATTTGAGGTTTTTAAACCTTAAGTGGTTAAACCATGTCTCAAAGCAAGATCTTCTGACTCCAAATCTTGTGTGTGGGTCCTGATAGAGAAATGTTAGGCGAGACCATTTATCTCCCCTGGGAATCTTAAGCAAAGAAAATCAGTCATTTTTGCAGAATACTTATGATTCCTTCTCAAAATTGCATTCTTACCCGATGGATCATCACTTTCACAATATCCCTGAGTTGTGCTGAGCCAACATTTATTTATCAAGTATCTACTATATGCTAGTCACTATGCTACACATTGAACAAGACTGCTAAGGTCCCCACTCTCACAGACCTTGCTATATTCATTTAAATAGAGAAGTAACGTAAGGCACAGCGAAGTGAAATGATTATTAAAGTTTATGAAGAGCTAGAAGTACACACTAGGTATTCTGCCTTCAACACAAATCTCTAATTTGCCATGAATGAAACACTATGACTTAATACTCTTAAACCTACACTCAAACACTAGTGCATGGGAGTAAGAGAGAAATACCTGGGAATTACTCACAATAAATTTTATTGCTATCCAGATTCCTCTTGGAGAGGGTACTACCATTCTCATCTTACAGATAGGGAAATAGAGGTGGAGAAATGTTAAGTGATTTAATTTGCACAACTTCATGTAGGTAGTAGGTGATCAAGCCATGGTTCAAACTAGACAACTGACTCCAGAACCCACTCTATTAACCAGGCCTCAATACTGTGTATCTTTTATGGCACAGGTCACATTCTTCCTTGTTGTAGCTGCTTCGGGTGTTAGAACATTCTCCAGAATTCTTTTTTAAAAGATATTAAGATTAAATATTTTGGGAGGATAAGATAGGAGGATCACAAGTTCAAACCCAGCCTAGGCATTTTAGCAAAGCCCTAGGCAACTTCAAAATGAAGGGCTGGGAATGTTATGGGACCTCCCTGGGTCCAATACCCAGCACCAAAAGAAAAAACAAAAAAGATTAAAAGATAATTTAACACTAACCCTTTTGCTATTCCATGCTAGAAAGAAGTTTTGTCATTGAACACCCCCTGGGCTGGCTGAGCTTTGGCCATATCCCTAGGTTTTGAATTCCCTGGACTTAGAAAGTTGAATATTTTCTCACAATTCTAACATTCAAATTGAGATAATAGTACCTGGAATTCTTATTATACAGTATATTTAGACTGCCCTCAAGGATGGTCTATTCCTGATCAGTTGATAGCAGCAAGATCTTATAAAAATATGGAATATGTAAATAATTCCTATCTTTATATTTGGATA